TAGAGTAGAGAGAGAGAGAGAGAGAGAGAGAGAGAGGTGTGTGTGTGTGTGTGTGTGTGTGTGTGTGTGTGTAGGAAGAAAGAAGGGGGAAAGAAATTGTATTGCAAGCGGCATCGGCGATTCACTTGAAAAATTGTGTTAAGGAGCCGTCAACCTCGGCACGATGCAGACAAAGCGATTGGATAGGATGAAATAGCGTTTCCCCGTGGAGCGTTCCTTTCTGCGAGAAAAGGAAAGAGAACGGCACGATGTCCCAGCTCTCGTACTGAGAAACTCCGCTTTGTGCACTGAAAAGAAAATGCACTGCGCCACCCTGTTATATTCGTGCGTCTTCTATCTTCTTGGTTCCTTTGCTCTCCCGCTTCGTCTGTCGTGACACCCGACTGTCTTTTCAACGCAACCGATTACCTTTCGGTATTATTACTAATATAGCCAGAACTCTGTCTTTTTAAGGATAATTCAAGAGGAGACTTACGCCACGCGAAAAAAATGTATACTATTAGAATTACATTGTAATTATAAAATAATACATCGTTAATCTAAATTACATAAACATTTGTAAAGCGATTAAAAGTTAATTCTCTGTGATCTTAATCGAAATAAATTAGATATCTTTTGTCGATAATCCGTGTGAAAAATCAAGATTAATCATAAAAGAGGAATATTAAAGAAAAAAAATAATAAATTAATAGCATAATCATTCATATGAAATAGAATGAAACCAGTTTTTCGAATGAGTGGATACTACTCACGTTCGCAAACTTAATAATAGTCAAGCTTATTAAGCGCATTTGAGTATCTCTTCTTGAGCTCAGTTTCTGTAAGAAAGCGGGGAAAGCGGCTCGATAGGATTTTCCGTACAGGCAACGGTGTAACTTTTCATCTAATGCGCTAAAATAAAGTAGCGGGGAAATTGACTTACTTAAATCAGTTGACTCGAGTTGGCCACAGAGGAGGAAAACGAGAAAATCTTCCTTCCTGCCCTGCCCCCCTCTCCCTCCCCCTTCTCCACCTCTCTGTCCCTTCAGGGACAAAGTTTGTAGCTTGTGCCGTGAAGCAACTTTGCTAATTAATAGGCGTAACAATATTAGTGTAAGCCGCGTTAGTCTGACTTTCACGGGGCGAATATTATGCACTATGCATAACGTGACAGGAAAATATTAGACGCGTTAACGACAATGTCGTCGCCTTAAGGCGAGGCAGGCGAGTACACAATATCGTTATTGACCCTAAACTTGGCGAAGGAAGTGAACTTGAAATTGCGTTAGAATGGAGAATGTAAAGGAAGTGCGACGGACAATGATGAACAGCGATGAGACTTGGACTATTTATTAACGTACAATTTTTTAAATATTAAGTTGCGCGTAAGTTTCAACGGAGATAAAATATCAATTGCGCCTTATACAAAGGCGAACAAACGTATTGTCGACGCTATAGCATCACATATATACGGGAACGCTGCAATTTCAATTTATGCTTCTAGATTTCTATCGGGTAGATGCCATCCATCACTATCATTGTGTTGGAAAGATAGAATTTTAGGTTTCCATAGCGCGCGCTTTCTGCGCGCTCAAAGAAAAACGAATGTATACGTACAGAAAATATCTCAACAAAATGCACCGCCACCTGTTACTGTTCGCACAAACGAAAATATTCGAGTAATTACATCAACGCCAGTGAGCATACATTTTAACGCCGGTGAGCATCGTAGTTAATTTTACAGCCGTTAATTTTGGTAGAATTGTACAAATATACCATGGTGGTTGTACGCTTTCCGCTCGATCGTCGAGTATTATTGTATTATCAGGTTAATAAAAGTGCTCGCGCAACCAACAATTCGATTATGTTTAACATAAATTGCATTCATGAAAGAGGCTAATAAAAACGCATGCCCGACTGGTTTTCAGCGATATTCCACGAAAAACGAGGATATAAATACGCGCATTCTCGTTGCGTTCCCGGGCTACATTTTCCATCCGCATCCATCCAAACATGTAAATTATTACGTAGCGGAAACGGACAGGCACCTAAGGAACGGGATATAATTTATTTTTACACAATTCACCATTTGCATTTCAAAAGAGCGAGTATTTACGAGATAAGCGATAACCTTTTTGCCGAGTATGAGCGTATAAGTGAAAAAGGAATGCGAAAGGGGGTGAGAGCGAGGGAGGTCAGATGGCTAGAGGGGGCGGACGGACGAACGAACGGACGTAGAAAATGAGAAGAGTTTCTGACCCCTTAGGCAAATCTACCCCGATCTCAGCGTTGCGTCTGCACCGAACTACAACGTTGCAGTGGCGTCTCTGCATCGGGCATCATACACTCTCCTTCGCTCATTTTCTCCCTCCCTCCC